GCGTCTCGCGCACCAGCCGGCCCCGGACGCGGCGCGCGCTAATTGGCTCCGCCGCCTTTAGGACCCGCCTCCGCCGCCCCGGCGCGCGCCTTCATTGGGCCACGTCCTGGACCCGCCCCCGTCTCCGTCTCCCGCACTGTCCCGGAGGCGGCGGAGAGGCCAGTCCACCCGTCTGGACGAAACTGCCGGCGTCGGTCACGGATTGGACCACGTCACGGGCCGGCGCGTTTCGCTCCCGCCTCCCCAACACCGACGCCGGGGCGCCCGCGGGACTTTTCCAGGCCTTGGAACTAGATGCATCACTGCGGAGACTCTCAAGTGACCTGAACCTGTAGAGAATGGGGCGCACGGTTGTGGAGACAGTCGGACCTATTTTTCTGGTCAACTGGGGAATCCCGACCTAGCAGTGGGAATGCCTGGCCTCCTCTCCGCAGGGAAGAGGAAGAGGCGCTAGCTTGTGAGTTGGTAGCTTCTGAACTGCCCTAGGCTTTGGCTAAACATCAGAGAATGGCTGCGCTTCAGGATTAGTCATCCCAATCCTCCTCTGCTTCACTGAGGAAACTTAAGCCACAAAAAAGGATGTTCACTGATGGATCGGAGATAAGCAGTGTATTAGTGGCAGAGGTTAGCCTGGACTTTGAGCTGCATTTGTATGAGAATGGATATTTCAAACTGTAAAGCGCTACACACAAAAGACACTTTTATCCAAGGCTATAATTAGTTAAGCATACGTGCACTACCTTCTGTGTATTTCTTTTCCATTAAATCCTGTACGAGCTTCCCCTTCTCTTTAACTTCTTATCATAGAATTAAAACAATCACTCTCCTCTGCTGTTTGGCACTTCTCACTGCCTTCTCTTGCTGCTTTAACCCAGTGGAAATGCTCAGTTCTTGGAGAGAGAATTTCTCTTAAATGTGGATGGAAATCAACTGCCTTTGCTTCTCCCCTTCAGTTGATGCCTGGCCTCACTTTACAGAAGTGTCTCTCTCTCTCTCTCTCTCTCTCTCTCTCTCTCTCTCTCTCTCTTTTTAATATATTTTTTAGTTGTTGATAGACCTTTATTTGTATGTGGTGCTGAGAATTGAACCCAGTACCTCACACATCCAAGGGAAGAGCTCTACCACTGAGCCACATCCCCAGCCCCAGAATTCTCTCTTGAAAGGCCTGGCTGTCACTACCAGGACCTTGTCAAGCCTGAGTTTGTTTAAGGAACTCATCTATTCCTTTCTCTTCCTTTTTAATGATGCTTAGGAGGGAAAAGAGTGATCATATGTCTATACTTAGAAAAGGAAACATATTGGCAGTACCACAAGAGGTCTGTTGTGCTCCTTTTAAGATAGTTCAGTGGTAAGGTAGTAGAGAAATTGAAATAAAGAGAAGTTTGCTTAAAATCTTGGCACAATTTAATTACATAAACTACACAGAAGTGTTATCTTGGAAAAAAAAAAAGTCATTCTAGATAAAGCTAAGTCCGCTTGACACCAACCACAATCTCCTACTCTGTCCTTTGGAGGTAACTGCCATTAATACTGTGGTAAGGAATCTTCTGGGCCTTTTCCTCTGAATTTGAGGTTGGGGATGTAAGTAAGTGGCAAAGAGCTAACCTAGCACACGCACAGGCCTAGGGTTTGGTCCTTAGCATCAGAAAAGATTAAAACATTATACAATTATTGTTTGAAAAATTTTTTTAAATTTGGAGTGACTTCCATGTCAGTGTGTGATTCACTCTCATTGTTTTTGCTGTGGAACATTCCATAGCATGGGGTTTGTTTATAATGATGGACATATAAGTTGTCATTCAATTCCATAGAGAAAGATTGTTTCTCAATAATTAACTCTACTTTTTGGGCTGGGGCTATAGCTCAGTGCGCAGAGTACTTGCCTAGCATTTGCAAGGCACTGGGTTCAATCCTCAGCACCACATAAAAATAAACACATAAAACAAAGGCATTCTGCCATCTACAACTACAAAAAAAGTTGTTGTTTTTTTGTTAAATAATTAACTTGGGGCTGGGGATGTGGCTCAAGCAGTAGCGCGATCGCCTGGCATGCTTGGGGTGCTGGGTTCGATCCTCAGCACCACATAAAAAAGTAAAAGATGTTGTGTCCACCGAAAACTAAAAAATAAATATTAAAAAATTCTCTCTCTCAAAAATAATTAACTCTACTTTTGGCCAACTATCTGCTATATTCTTTCCATTCATTTCATTTCAAACAGAGAGCATGCATTTTAACATTTATTGGGCCTCTGTCATTCAATCACTATTCAAGGTGTATATAGATGGGTACAAGCTTGTCCTTATCCTCAGAGAAGTCACAATCTGCCAGGAAAATCTGCTATGAACAAACATTGCACTTACTAAAAACCTATTGGATGATTGCACATTGATAGACTCAGCCTTCCCTGTTCCTAGAAGAGTTCCCACCCGCAGAATACACTTGATGGGAGCAGTCTGGCTACAGTTACAATTCTCAGCTTGGGTACTCTGTCCCCCTGGGAGGTGTAGCAGGTGCAAGTGCTCTGGGGAGTCACCTGTTTTGTTCTCTGATCAGAAAGGATAGAATTTCACAAGAACAAGTTGTGGAACAATGGGAAATTCTTTATGTAAAACTGATTTAGATTGACCTTGGCAGGTGAACTCACTTAATTTTATTGTTTTATTTTGGTACTGGGGATTGACCCCGGGGGTGCTTAACCACTGAGCCACATGCCTAGCCTTTTCTTTTTAAATATATATATTTTATTTAGAGACAGGATCTTGCTGAGTTGCTTAGGGCCTTGCTAAGTTGATGAGGCTGGCTTTTGAACTCGTGATCCTCCTGCCTCCACCTCCTCAGCTGCTGGGATTACAGGTGTGTGCCTCCGTACTTGGCTAACTCCTTGACCAGAATAACTTGTTAATAGTATTTGAGAGCTATATCCTTACATAACATTGCAGAAACCCAAGAAAAAGTTGCTGTCTTTCAGGATACTGACAGAAAAGTAAAATGAACACATCAGCAAAGGCATATGTATATGTTATAAACCATACAAATTACATCATGAGCTGAGGGCAATGTTGATCAGGTAGAGAACATCCTGGATTACAAGAATTTATTTTTATCAATTTACTAATTTATTTTTTGTGGTACTGTGAATTGCCCCTGGCGCACTCCACCACTGAGCTATATGCCAGTCCTTTTTATTTTTTGAGAGGGTCTCCCTAAATTGCTGAGGCTAGCCTCAAACTTGCAATCCTCTTGCCTCAGCCTCCTAAGAGGCTGGGATTACAAGCATTAGCCACTATGCCCAGTGGGTCAGGAGAATTTAAACCAACAAAAATAGTTGTTAGCCAACAAATCTAAGATTTTATCTAAAAATGCATACTATACATACATTTACAAACAGACTGTTAGTAACAGCTTTATTCATAACAATTGAAAACTACCCAAATGCCCATCAATAATCGTTAGAGTCACACATGGCAATTTTACACAGTAGTGAGAATAAGACCATTATATAACACAACTTAAATGAATTCAAACAAAATGGAGTCAATGGAGCCAAAGGATACATACTATATAATTTTACTTACATAAAGTTTAAAAACAGGCAAAACTAAGTTATAGTGAATGGGAAGGTAGCATTTCAAAGAAAGCATTAGGCAAGCTTCTGTGAGAATTCAGTGGGTGGTAGCATGTGTCCTCAATAACACTAGAATAAATAATTCGTATTTAGTCTTGGTGTTATGAAAAAACATTTTCTGCACCATTGTGCCTGGAGGTAATATGAATTTGAATAGGACACAGGGACAGATGAGAGACAGAATTGGGAACATTCCCCAGCTTGCATTGGGGATTGTTGTGTAAAGAAGAGAAAATAAACTGTTATGGTGGTACACACCTGTAATCTCAGCTGCTCAGGAGGCTAATGCAAGAGGATCACAAGTTTGAGGCCAGCTCAGCAATTTAGGGAGACCCTATCTTAAAATTAAAATAAATAAATATGAAACACTGGGGATGTACTTCAGTGGTAAGAGCCCCGGTGTTCAATTCCCAGTACCAAGAAACAATACAAAACAAAAACATGTTTTCAGCCAAATGCAATGGCATAGGTTTGTAACCTCAGCTACCCAGAAAGCTGAGGCAGGGGGATTGCAAGTTCAAGGTCAGTCTGGAAAATTTAGCGGGACACTGTCTCAAATTCAAAGGACCAAGGATGTAGTTCAGTGGTAGAGTGCTTGCCTAACAGGCAATGAGGCCCTGGGTTCAATCCTGAGTGCCACAAAAATAAAAGGAAAAAAAAAAAAAAAAGAACAAGAAACATGTTTTGAGTGTCCATTAGATGCCACATGCTCTGACAGGGGTACACAAAAAGAAGATACTGACTATGGTTTGCAACGTGTGTTTGGTGGCCGATACAAATTTCTATTTCTTCTTTCTTACAGCTGAGAAACTGGTTTCCCATACGTTGCTTCATCGTACCCTAAAATAATCCTGTGAAGTCAAAAGCATAATTCACTTAGTCATGACATTTTTTTAAATTCCTGAGCGCAGGGGCATTTTGTGGAGCAGGAAACTGATGCTCAAAAAAAGTGAAAGGGCCGGTGCGTTGGCGCACGCCTGTAATTCCTGCCACTGGAGAGGCTGAGGCAGGAGGATCGCAAATTTAAGGCTGGCCTCAACGTATGGAGACCCTCAACAACTTAGCGAGATCCTGTCCCCGCCCCCCCCCCCCCCAAAAAAAAAGGCTGGGGTGTGGCTCAGCGGTTAAGCGCCTCTGGATTGATTCCCCAGCATCCATCCATCCATCCTTCCATCAACCAATAAATAAATAAATAAATAATGCGAAGGGTTCAGCTCTTAAAATTTTCAACTAGCGCAGTCATAAAATCGGGCAAACTCGCAACCTGCGCAGCAAGCAGCCCCGCCCACTCTCCCAGCAGCCGGAGGCTGTCCTCCAGACTCCGAGGAGCTGAAGCTGCCGGAAGCCGCGGGTCACATGACCAGCTGGTACCGGTCACATGACATAGCTTCTGGAGGCGGGGGCTCTCGGCCAAGATGGCGGCTTACCTGCAGTGGCGGCGCTTCGTTTTTTTCGACAAGGAACTGGTGAAGGAGCCGCTGGGCAATGATGGGGCCGCTCCCGGAACCGCGCCTGCCTCTGGATCTACTGTTTCCAAGTTCCTTTGCCTCCCCCCTGGAATCACTGTCTGCGACTCAGGCAGAGGGAGCTTGGTCTTTGGAGATATCCTTCCTCTCGAGCTCTCTTCCCTTCCCGGATCCCCGAAGAGATCCAGCTGGGATAGAATCTGTCAGAGTGGTTCGTGCTTGGTTCCACTTCCCATTAGATGGCTGCCCAGACCTCTTCTGTGGTCTGAGGGAAGAAGGAAGGAAGTCCATTTTCTAATTTGTCAATCGAGCAGTACTGGGCAAGTCATTTATTTAACCTCTCTGGGCTTCAATTTCCTTATCTGTAAAGGGGTGTGAATGCCAATTTGGCAAGGTTATTTTAAGATCAGTCCCTCAAAATGGATGCAGGTTGCCTTTCAGAGATGAAAATGTAGGCCGGGGTTGTGGCTCAATGGTAGAGCGCTTGCCTAGCGTGCGTGAGGCACTGGATTCGATATCCGGCACCACATAAAAATAAATAAATAAAGTAAAGGTATTGTGTCTATCTACAACTAAAAACAAGAATTTAAAAAAAAGATGAAAACGTAAGGTGTCATCTTCCCTGACTAATATTGTGGAGGAAGCAGTAAATGAGATCAGAGTTTCTTGCTTTTTGCTCTTTAAGTGACAAGTGGGAAAACATTTGAAAATTTTGAAGATGTATGTTCATGTTAGTTGTTGTGTGGGTTCCCATCTAAAAATAAGTACAGTAGACCTCTAGTGGATGCCCGAAGCTCTGAATAGTGCCAAACCCCATAGGTACTATGTTTTTTCCTATCCAGATGTTCCTCAACTTATGATGGGGTTCTCCTTAAGTTGATAGTATTTTAAGTAGGAAATATGTTTAACACACCTAAGCCACAGATTATTATAGTTCATCCACACAGTACATATCAGTAGTATATCAGTTCATCCCTGTGATCCTGTGACTAACAGTATCATATTGATATCATTAGTCCAGGAAAAGATTAAAATTCTAAGTACAGTTGGGCCTAATGGCACATGCCTCTAACCCAATAGCTTGGGAGGCTGAGGCAGGAGGATGGCCAATTCAAAGCCAGCCTCAGCAATTTAGCAAGACCCTGTCTCAAAAATAAAAAGGGTTGGGGATGTGGCTTAGTAGTGAAGCACCCCTGGGTTTAATCCTTGGTTAAAAAAAAAAAAAATTCTAAGTAAAATTTCTTCTGACTGTATATCACATTCAACGCCATTGTAAATGAAAAATTGGGGGAATAGCTGTGCATACATGCCTATGATGACGTTTAATTTGTAAATTGGGCACAGTAAGAGATTAGCAACCATGCCAGGCATTGTGGCTCATGCCTATAATCCCCGTGGCTCAGGAGGCTGAGTCAGGAGGATCATAAGTTCAAAGCCAGCCTCAGTATCGGTGAGGTGCAAAGCAACTTAGACCCTGTCTCTAAATAAAATACAAAATGTGGCTCAGTGGTTGAGGGCCCCTGAGTTCAATCCCCAGTACCACCCCCCCAAAAAAAAGAGAGATTAGTAACCATAACTAATAAAACATAACAATATATTGTAAGAAAAGTTGTATGAATGTGATTTCTCAAAATACTTAATTTCTTATTGCACCACAGTAACTAATGCAAATCTAGACAAGGGGGGACCACTGTATCTTTCCTTGGAAAGGCGGCTCCTTGACTACCCTGCACATATGGAAGGCCAAATATGGTTCTTGCCACGTTCCCTACAGCTTACAGGTTTCCAGGCCTATAAACTACGGGTAACACACCTGTACCAATTGAAGCAGCACAATATTCTAGCATCTGTTGGTGAGGATGAAGAGGGAATCAACCCCCTGGTGAGTCTCAGAATGGGAACAAGAAGATCCAGGAATTTTTGTTTGTTTGTTTTGCTGGAGGGAGACTAGCATTCATACTTCTGAGGTCTGTCCACAGGTAAAGATCTGGAACTTGGAGAAGAGAGATGGTGGCAATCCACTATGCACCCGAATCTTCCCTGCAATCCCAGGAACAGAGCCAACTGTTGTGTCCTGTTTGACTGTCCATGAAAATCTCAACTTTATGGCCATCGGTAAGCAGAAAGAAGGCAAAGCTAACACTTTCAGATTCTTTATAGATTTTCTTCAGAGTTGTTTCCACAGTGATGATGTTTATTGTTTAAATGGGATTATTTCATACCAAACTGAGGCCTTTGAGATACTGAGATTTGGAATGGGAAGCGGTTTAATTTTTTTCTTTGAAAATGAGTCAGTGAGGCCAGGTGTGGTGGCGCACTTGTAATCCCAGTGGTTTGGGAGGTGGAGGCAGGAGGATTGCGAGTTCAAAGCCAGCCTCAGCAATTTGGCGAGGCACTAAGCAACTCAGTGAGACCTTGTCTCTAACAAAAAACAAAATAGGGCTAGGGATGTGGCTCAGTGGTCAAGTGCCCCTGAGTTCAATCCCTGGTACCCCCCAAAAAGAGAAAATGAGTCAGTGAGTACCAAATTCAGGTTAACCATTAGGCAAGTTGGGTATGAGAAAGTTTGTTTCTAATAAGTGCCTCAAAAGATCATTTTCCCTGATCTTTTCAGCCTCACTGAAGTGCTGTTTCCTGCTCTCCTACAGGATTCACAGATGGCAGTGTTACATTGAACAAAGGTGACATCACTCGGGACCGACATAGCAAGACTCAGATTTTGCACAAAGGCAACTATCCTGTTACTGGACTGGCCTTTCGCCAAGCAGGAAAGACCACTCACTTGTTTGTCGTAACAACAGAGAATGTCCAGGTATGACCAAAGCCACTGTTATCAGGGGCAGGCAACAAGGGTTTCTCCATTGCTCAGAAGGTAGGGCAAGGACTGAGTAAGTTCGTTTTCAATACATATTCTTGAATCATTTGCCCAGCTTAATATTTTATTTCTTCACTTGGGAGACTGAGAAGAGCTAGACTTAGAAAAAGAACCCTGGGTTTATAGTGAAAAGACATGATTTTTCCCCCATAATTTGTTAAGTGACATGTGATAAGCAGCTTACCTCTCTGGTTCCTGCTGCTCCTAATTTTAATGGTCTACTCTCCCAGAAATATTCTTGATAAAACAGTAAGATAATTACATATCTCTTTACTTGCATAATTCCTGGGTTATGTAGTGATAATATATGTAGAGGAAGAAAATATGATCTCTGCTTATGTATTTATTTAATAGATGGCTGATAGATAGGCATGTGTATCCACAGGTGAGCACCTATAATCCCAGCCATTTAGGAGACTGAGACAAGAGACTCACAAGTTCAAGGCCAGCCTTGAAAATTTAATGAGACCCTGGCTCAAAAAAAAAAAAAAAAACAGGCTGGGGTTGTGGCTCAGTGGTAGAGCAGTTGCCTAGCATACGCATGAGGAACTGGATTTTGTTCTCAGTACTGCATGTAAATAAATAAATAAAAATAAAGGTCCATTAACAACTAAAAAAATATAAAAAGTAAAAAGGATGGGATGTAGCTCAGTGGTAAAGTGCCCCTGGGTTTAATTCCCAGTACAGAAGGGGGGAAGAAAAAAGGCTGGGGATGTAGTTCAGTGGCGGAGAGCCTTTGGGTTTGATCCTCAGTACCAGAAAAAAAATTAATAATCATAAATTGGTGATAGTTAAAGCAGAAGGTAGGCAAAGTCTTCAGCTGAGCTGAAAAGAAGTGAGAGTCAGTCTAGAGATAGGAATACTTTTGTGAAGTCTTTGTTGCTACCCCTTTAAAGGGAGATTGTTAACCCTTCCTTTCTTCTGACAGTCCTATATAGTTTCTGGAAAGGACTACCCTCGTGTGGAGTTGGACACCCATGGTTGTGGTCTGCGCTGCTCAGCACTAAGTGACCCTTCTCAGGATCTGCAATTCATTGTGGCTGGTGATGAATGTGTCTACCTTTATCAGCCTGATGAACGTGGGCCCTGCTTTGCCTTTGAGGGCCATAAGCTCATTGCCCATTGGTTTAGAGGCTACCTTGTCATTGTCTCTCGTGACCGGAAGGTTTCTCCCAAGTAAGGATGCCAGGGAGATGGGAAAAGGAGAGGGCTGGACTTCTTCCCCAGAATTAGTCTGATTTTAAAATCCTAATGCCAGGATCCTGCCAATCTCCCTACTTTGGTTTTATGTAGATTGCACTTCCACCTAGATTATTACACATTTTTACTGAAAAATGTATTTTTGTTGCTACATAGCCCTGGTATACTAGAATGCTTCAGAATTTGAGTTGGTATTTTTTTTTTTTTTTTATCTTTTAGTCAATATAAGGGATTGGATAGTGGAGGAATTGAAAGGGTTGTGAAGTACAGGACACCGTTTTTTGTTGTTGTTTTCCAGAGCTACCAAAAGGGGGAGGTGGGGTCTTCTGCATGATGTGAGTACACTCTGTTAGATGGTTTGTCTTCATTTAGAACCAAGCAGTGTTTCACATATATCATGCACTGGATGATTATTTTTTAAATGGGTAGGTGTCTAAATGTCCTTAATTTTCTACTCTGATGGCTGAATTAATTATAAGATCTACAGGATGAGAACAGAATTGTATGTTCTCTTTCTGCAGCTACCAGCACAGTGCTGCATATTATAGAATGAACTGCTAGAAGAGCCAAAGGTGATTTATTTTGGGTAGAATGGGCAGCACCAAAGCTGTCGTGGGAAAGGAAAACAAAGGAGAGCTGAGACAGAGGTAATCCAAATACTTGGTTCTTTTTCTTTCCTATGCAGGTCAGAGTTTACCAGCAGGGACTCTCAGAGCTCCGACAAGCAAATTCTCAACATCTATGACCTGTGCAACAAGTTCATAGCCTATAGTGCTGTCTTTGAGGATATAGTGGATGTGCTTGCTGAGTGGGGATCCCTGTACGTGCTGACGCGGGATGGGCGGGTCCACGCACTGCAGGAGAAGGACACACAGACCAAACTGGAGGCAAGGCCACCAGGTTCCCAAAGTTGACATAGGCACTTAGAAGCAGCTGCAAGGACAGGTTTCCTAAGTCACCTGGACCCAGGTGTAGATTGCACTTCCACCTAGATTATTACACATTTTTACTGAAAAATGTATTTTTGCTGCTACATAGCAAAAATTATTTGCTTTGGGTCCCAAATGTGCTTGGTGTCCTCAGGGTATTATGATAAGGTGGATGGCCTGCTAGATATGGTGGCACATGCCTTTAATTGCAGTATCTTAGGAGTCTGAGGAAGGAGGATTGCAAGTTTGAGGCCAGCCTCAACAACTTAATAAGACCCTAAGAAACTTTGTGAAACCCTGTCTCACAATTTAAAAGTAGTGCTGGGAATGTAGCTTAGTGGTAGAGCACCCAGTTTCCATCCTTAGTACCAAAACAAACAAATGAAAAAACAAAGGTAGATGGCCTGGGATGAGGCTTTGGAAGGAAGTGATGTTTGGGATCCTAAGCCTACTCTCAAGGTTCATTTTGTTTGCAGAGGTCCTTATCATTTGAGGTGATGTTGGTCTTGAGAGAATCTGGAAAGTCTTGCTCCATCTAGGATCTAATCAGATTAGGACTCCAGGACTATCTGGCTATATGTTGCGGGCACATTTTGAGGTATCTTCTCAGGACTGCTTCTACCAATTTTATAATTTCTCTCCCCTTCTAGATGCTATTTAAGAAGAATTTATTTGAGATGGCTATTAACCTGGCCAAGAGCCAACATCTGGACAGTGATGGGCTGGCCCAGATCTTCATGCAGTATGGAGACCATCTCTATAGCAAGGGCAACCATGATGGGGCCGTCCAGCAATATATCCGGTCAGTATGGTGGTGATATGGCAAATAGCTCTAAATGCAGATTCAGGCAGCCAGATTGCTGAAACCTGTGCTCAGGGGAGAAGCTTGAACTCAACCAGGAACTATTTGTTTTTTTCTATAGAAACTGTGATGCCTCAAACGAGAGAATAAGAGATCTTATTGGAAATGGAATGTTTAAGGTCAAATATAATATGACCAACATGTAGCTAAGCTGATGATTACCTATCATTTTAAACTTTAGGTTGACCTTTGTCAATAACATTCATTTTGACCGGATTCTTTAAAGAAAGAAGGTATTCATCTCTTGCTTCCGTACTTCTTCCAATGGTAATAATTCTTGGAATTTTTGCCTTGATAAGAAGTTTTGGAGCCAGGTGTGGTGGTGTACACCTGTAATCCCAGCAGCTTGGTAGGCTGAGGCAGGAGGATCACAGGTTCAAAGCCAGCTTCAGCAGAAGCAAGGCAGTAAGCAACTCAGTGAGACCCTGTCTTTAAATAAAATGCAAAATAGGGCTGGGGATATGGCTCAGTGGTTGAATGCCCCTGAGTTCAATCCCTGGTAACCCCCCTTAAAAAAAAAAAAAAAGTTTTGAAAAACTATCTAGCCTCATTCCCAACCACTCTTGAATCCCTGTTGTCAACCAAATTTAAGTACCAGTACCCTGGAGCCTCTTGCTACTTAATGTGGTCGGCTGACTAGTAGTACTCAAATACCTAGGACTCTGTCAGAAATGCAAAATCCTAGGACCCACCCAAGACCTACTAAAACAATTTGCATTTTAAGAAGATTTGCAAGTGACTGCTATGCATATTACTTTGAGAAGTATACTGATGCAGATGATGACAATGCACATCTCTCTAGAACCATTGGAAAGTTGGAGCCATCATATGTGATCCGCAAGTTTCTGGATGCTCAGCGCATCCACAACCTGACCGCCTATCTGCAGACCCTGCACCGACAATCTCTGGCCAATGCTGACCATACCACCCTGCTTCTGAACTGCTATACCAAGCTTAAGGACAGCTCAAAGTTGGAGGAGTTCATCAAGGTCCCGGGTGATGTTGGGGGGATGATTCCTAGAGGGCCCCACTGAGCATGAAGTGCCTCTACCAGGGCTTGCTCTTTTTCAACAGCACACAGGGTAAGGGCTGCCCTTATCTGGGAACCAGCACCCTCTATTCTATAAATGGGGAAGAGGAGGAGTTATTCACGGCTAGTTCTTGTTCTTCTCCCCTCTTATTTTTTTTTAAATAATTTTTTAGGTGTTGATGGACCTTTATTTTATTCATTTATTTTTATGTGGTGCTGAGAATCAAACCCAGTGCCTCACAGTTGTGAGGTAAGCACTCTACCACTGAGCCACAACCCCAGTCCATCCCTTCTTATTTTATAATGCAAGAAATTTCCTTAGTATCTAAGCCCAATGGCATTAGGGAAGCCCTGTGTCCCCAGAGATATCCCTCTAATGGTAGGGACAAAGGAAGGCCTCTGGCCATTCATTAAATTCTGAGAGGCTGGCCAGCATGTTTTCAAAGCATTGACTTCATTACTTGAGGAATGTGTCTTATCATAAGATGCCTATTTCCTCTCCCTTCCCTAGTCACCTTTGTGCAAATGATTTTGTCTACTGTCTCCCTGGCAGACAAAGAGCGAGAGTGAAGTCCACTTTGATGTGGAGACAGCCATCAAGGTTCTCCGGCAGGCTGGCTACTACTCCCATGCCCTCTATCTGGCTGAGAACCATGCACATCATGAGTGGTACTTGAAGATCCAGCTAGAGGACATTAAGGTGGGTGAGGCTCTTGATTCAAGCAGAGCCCTGTTCTTTTTTTGAGGACATTCTGGAATGATGAACCTGGTGGGTGAGGCAGGAGTGGGCACTAGTCTGCTGTTTTCTTCACAGAATTATCAGGAAGCCCTTCGCTATATCGGCAAGCTGCCTTTTGAGCAGGCAGAGAGCAACATGAAACGCTATGGCAAAATCCTCATGCACCACATACCAGAGCAGACAACCCATTTGCTAAAGGGACTTTGTACTGACTATCGACCAAGCCCAGAAGGCCGAGGAGACAGGGATGCTCCAGGATGCAGGGTAAAGCCTCAAGGAGAAAAACTTTTGATAGCAGGTATTACCTTAGGGGCCGCCTGGGTACCAAGACCACTTACTCCCCTCTCTCCCTCAATGCTAGGCCAACTCTGAGGAGTTCATCCCCATCTTTGCAAACAACCCAAGAGAGCTGAAAGCCTTTCTAGAGCACATGAGTGAAGTACAGCCAGACTCACCCCAGGGAATCTATGATACCCTCCTTGAGCTACGGCTGCAAAACTGGGCCCATGAAAAGGATCCACAGGTGAGGCTTGGCTACATATGCAAAGGTGTTAGAGAGAAGACAGTTCTTGGGCTGGCGGGTATAGCTCAGTGGTAGAGCATTTGCCTAGTATGTCTGAGGCCCTGGGTTCCCCAGCACTGAAAAACAAAAACAAAGATAGTTGTTTTTTTTTTTTTTTTTGGTACTGGGGATTGAACCCAGGGATGCTTAACCACTGAGCCACATCACCAGCCCTTTTTAATTTTTTATTTTGAGACAGGGTCTCATTAAATTGCTTAGGGCCTTGCTAAGTTGCTAAGGCTGGCTTTGAATTTGTGATCCTCCTGCCTCAGCCTCCCAAGTGGTTGGGATTACAGGTGTGTGACACCATGCCCAAGATAGTTCTTGCTGTCTCTATTCTTCCATCCTTGTGGCTGCCTTTTGCTGCTTTCCTTATGCCATTATACCTGGCCCTAGGGCTAAATGGTTTTCAATGAAGAGGAAACTGTACTGAGGGAAGAAGAGAGTCTACTGGCCTATCTCAAGAGACTTTTTGATTTTCCCTTCATGTCCAGCAGCCCTATCCTCCTTCTTCCCTAGATCAAAGAGAAGCTTCATGCAGAGGCCATTTCCCTGCTGAAAAGTGGCCGCTTCTGTGACGTCTTTGACAAGGCGCTGGTCCTGTGCCAGATGCATGACTTCCAGGATGGAGTCCTTTACCTCTATGAACAAGGGAAACTGTAAGATTTGGAGACTCCCAGGGAAAGGAAAATCCAGGTAATTTTCCAGGGACAGTCAGTGAGATGTGCCCTTGCCCCTGCCCTAGGTTCCAGCAAATTATGCACTACCACATGCAGCATGAACAGTACCGGCAGGTGATCGCGGTGTGTGAGCGCCATGGGGAGCAGGACCCCTCATTGTGGGAACAGGCCCTCAGCTACTTTGCCCGCAAGGAAGAGGACTGCAAGGAGTATGTGGCAGCTGTGCTCAAGCATATTGAAAGCAAGAACCTCATGCCACCTCTTCTAGGTACTTGGGAAGACAGGATGGGTGGGCAACAGGCAGCTGACAGGGGCCCTGTAGCATGAGTCCTTCAGCTCTATCCAGAGGGGACTGGTTGGTTCATTGTCTTGTTTCCTCTTGGACCCCAATCTCAGTGGTGCAGACTCTGGCTCACAATTCTACAGCCACCCTATCCGTCATCAGAGACTACCTGGTCCAAAAACTGCAGAAACAGAGCCAGCAGATTGCACAGGATGAGCTGCGGGTACGGCGGTACAGAGAGGAGACCACCCGCATCCGCCAGGAGATCCAGGAGCTCAAGGCAAGGTACCAGCAGCTGGATACATGGAGGGGGGTATAGGGGATAACCAATAACCTTGACCTCACAGGGTGTACTTTTTCCAAACAGAGGATTGTATGGAGTGTTTTCATCCTTTTTTTTTTTTTTTTTTTTTTTGGTGCAGTGCTGGGGATAAAACCCAGGGTCTTGCACATTCCAGGCATATGCTGTATCTACCATTAAGCTACACCACATCCCCTTGAAGATCTATTTTAATGGAGGAATTCCAAAGAATGGTTTATTGTTTAAATCATTATTTATTGGCCTTTGGAGTTAATATTAAATTGAGGCAGGTATTTTTCTTTCTGTTTATGCCTGATTTACCTTCTCTAAACACATTTGTGGTTGGAAGCCATTCTGCAGTAAAAGTCTTGACTTTAGAAAATGCAGAAAGTGCCGGACATGGTAGCACATGCCTGTAATCCCAGCAGCTGGGGAGGCTGAGGCAGGAGGATCATGAGTTCAAAGCCAGTCTCAACAACTTAGCAAGGCCCTAAGCATCTCAGCAAGACCCTCCTCTAAATAAAACATAAAAAAGGGCTGGGGAGGGATGTGGCTCAGTGGTTATGCACCCCTGGGTTCAATCCTCAGTGTGTGTGTGGGGGCGGTGGAATTCAGAAAGTAGGTAATTTAGAATTACTCGTGGTAAGCATTATTCCCAAGTCTTCTCTGCCTTTAACAATGTAAAATATTTTTAGACAAATTTCTTCATACCACAAATACTTATTGAGCCCCTGTTATGGGCCACACAGACAAGAAGGCCTGCCTTTACAGAGCTCACATCATAGAGGAAGAAACAAACAGTAAGCATCTTAATAGGCAACCTATTATAGTGTGTTGGATTGTGGTAAATTCTAAGAGAAAGTTAACAAGAGCAGGGAACAGGAGTGTATATTTCAAGGTATTTATTTATTTATTATATGAGTACTGGGGATAGAACCCAGGACCTTGTGCATGCTAGCTCTACCACTGAGCTACATCTCCAGCCCCACTACAGCTTTTTATCAAACGTAGTTAGTTTTGCAAAGGTAGGTAAATCACAATTTTAGATTAGGTAGGCCAGAAAGGCCTTATTAAAAGGGTCACATCTGAGTGTTTACCTAAAAGGGAATTTAGTAGTAGTGAAAACTCAAAGCGGTAAAACTATCCCTCTGGGTTACTAGCACTTGCTAAGCCTCCAAGTCCAGGATAGTTGTCCTCATTTGACTCCCTTTAAGTGATAAGAAGAGCAAGCAGGGCTTTTAGTCCTTCATAGGGAACTTTACTTATCCATTCCAGGTGCCTGCTCTCTCAGAGGGGTGCTTGGTCCTGTCCTCATTCTTTGCCACTCATTTCTGTTATCCCTTGCCCATAGTCCAAAGATTTTCCAGAAGACCAAGTGTAGCATCTGTAACAGTGCCTTGGAGTTGCCCTCAGTCCATTTCCTGTGTGGCCATTCCTTCCATCAGCACTGCTTTGAGAGTTACTCTGAAAGTGATGCTGACTGCCCCACCTGCCTCCCTGAAAACCGGAAGGTCATGGATATGATCCGCGCCCAGGAACAGAAACGAGATCTCCACGATCAGTTCCAGCACCAGGTGGGGATGAGTGGCCATGTGGGACAGGGAACTTCCACCAGCACAGAGCCCCCAGAGTCCTGGAGGGCTCATTTTTGTTTTTCTCTTCAGGAAACAAGCACTTTAGTTCTGATTCTTACTTCTCTTTCCCTATAGCTCAAGTGCTCCAACGACAGCTTCTCTGTGATTGCTGACTACTTTGGCCGAGGCGTTTTCAATAAATTGACTCTGCTGACTGACCCTCCCACAGCTAGACTGACCCCTAGCCTGGAAGCGGGGCTGCAGCGGGATCTGCTGATGCACTCCAAGAGGGGAACTTAAGTAGCTCTTGGGAAAGCCTGTGGCATGGTGGATATGGGCCATGGTTGCACAGAAGGGAGGCAGAAGTGCCCACGGCTCCACTCTGATTTGATGCCATTGCCCTCATGATCTGAGGGGACTTTCTTTTCATGCCCCTTTTGCCAGCCTGCTGTCCTTCCTGTTGACTAGCAGAATAGATTAATCCAGACTAATGGGGGAGGGCACCTCAGCAACCTCTGAGTGTGGACAATAGCTGCTTTATTCTCTGTTCAAGAGCACCAGGCTGTGCTTGGGTCCCTGCTCTGAGTCTATAAATAAAAGAATATAATGATTTGAGAGTTGAAACATCTTTTTTTGGGAACTTTCTGGATTTTTAACTGTGTATTACGTACTTTCCTCTGTTCTGGAGTCCAGTTCCCTTCCTACAGACTTGGAGATTATGTTGATTCACCCTTATCTCAGCAGTCAGTGGGGCCTGGGGCATTGAGCACAGTTCAACTTACTGTAGAAGCTCTTCAAAAGGCAATAATGTGCTGGCAGGGAGGCATAAAAAAAATCCCAGGAACTCAGGAGGTTGGGGCAGAATTGCAAGTTGAAGGCCCTAAGCAACTTATCCAGAACCTGTCTCAAAATAAAAAGGGCTGGAGATGTAGTTCAGGGGCAAAATGCCCCTGAACTACATCTAGTACCAAAAGGGAAAAAAAGGCCTAATGACCAAGTTTCAACTAAGGCACACAAAAGAGCTCTTTTTTTGGGGTGAGGGTGGGGTATTGGGGATTAAAGCCAAGGGCACTCAACCACTGAGGCACATCCTCAGCCCATTTAAAAAAATTTTTTTTTAGTTGTAGGTGGACCCAATACCTTTATTTCTTATTTATTCATATGTGGTGCTGAGGATCGAATTCAGTGCCTCACGCGCATTAGACATGTGCTCTACCGCTGAGCCACAACCCCAGACCCTCTTCAGCCGATTTTTAAAATTGTGAGACAGTGTCTAAGTTGCTTAGGGCCTAGCTAAGTTGCTGAGGCTGGCCTTGGACTTGTGATTCTTCTGCCTCAGCCTCCCAAGTTGCTGGGGTTACAGGTGTGCTAGCCAAACAGCTTCATCTTTAGTCTTGCTGGTCTTCTTAGCTCATGTTTGGGAAAAATACTCAAGCAGGAAGCAGATTCAGAGGAAGCCTTGAGTCCAGCCTGCCTTCATTATATGTAGGCTGGTGTTTTGCTATACTGATACTAGATGATAAACTGGCTAGATGATAAATAGCTTTTTTTTTTTTAATGGTACCAGAAATTTAACCCTATTGAAACATTTTCCCTTTTTGAAGTGGTCAGCTGAAGTTTATGTCAGTGGGTATTCGTTATAAACGAAATTATAAATTTGGGGTACACTTCCTGTCAGACAATTGTTCCTGTGGGGTGTTTAATTGAAGATCTAGTAACATGGCACTGTGATTTAGTAACACTGTGATTTAGGTAGTCTTTAAAAGAGGCAGTACTGCAGCCACAGTGATAGATTTTTGGATCAGTTGAGCTGAGACTGAATCCTAGCTGTGTTGTTTGACTTAGAGCAACTCTTTAAAATTTTATGTATTTACTTTTTTGAGATGGGGTCCTGCTATGTTGCCCAAGCTGGTTTCAAACTTCCAGGTTCAAGTAATCCTCCTGTCAGCTTCTGGAATACTTTCAGAATCTCAGTTTCTTCATCTGTACATTACCTTGTACAGCTTTTTGACCTAAAGAGCAAATAGCTGTCAGGTGGTTAGTACATGGGTGCTTAATCTATTAGTAGTGTTAGTGGGAAAAGCATTTTTTTTCTAGTAAGCCCTTTTCCCACCAACATTACTTTTTTTTTTTTTTTAATAACATCTGGTTTTGTATTATCTTGCAGTCTTTCAAATGTTTATTTTTTAGTTGTAGTTGGATACAATATCTTTATTTTATTTATTTATAAGTGGTGCAGAGGGCCTCACGTGCTAGGCCAGCACTCTACCACTGAGCCACAACCCCAGCCCCTCCCACCAACATTACTTAATGTGGTGTTGACACTCCCCGGTCGTAATTAGGTCTTTAGGCATGACCTTTAATCTCTCTCAACCTGTTTGCTGATTTTAAAGAACAGAAATGATGACTACTTCAGGGTTATAGCAAAGCTAAGTTTAACCAGAGGAAAGGAAGTATCACCTAAACTGTACGAATTGCTTGTGCCACTGCTGGGGAGAGGAAACTATAAATTCTGAATGAGAAGCCTTTGGGAACAGCCCTTTTATCTGTCTATGATAAATGCAGCCCAGCGGGCACGGTAACTTGCTTAAGTACCCGGTATTTAGTCATACTGGACATTTTAGGGTTAACAGATCCTCCCTTTCCTCCTGGGCATGGTTAACTCCTGTTTAATTGGCTATCCTTACGGGGGCGAAAGGCAGTTTATAGGTAAAACTGGGAAGCCTCTCTTAGCCTCTGACCATCAATACTCCTGATTCAGAAAGACGTGGCAGGCCTGGTTCTCAAAATGGAAAGCCCCCGGGGCGAAAGGGAACTCACGCTCCGGGCGAGCCCCCAGAGCAGTGGCGGCGAAGGCGGCTCTGTTGTAATCATTCTAATTCCCCTCCAGAGGAAGGTACCTCCCCTTCGAGGGAAGGCGCCGGACGTGACGCTGAACCTTCAGCAGTCCCGTAGTCAGACCGTGGGACTAGCTCAGGCCCACGTGTCCCCAGTTCCCGCCAGCTCGAGATCCCGGCCTCCACGGACCTCAGGGCACTTTAGGGGCACCACCCGCCCAACTTCCTGAGCGGAGTCATGTCTGGCAACGGTAACGCGGGTAACGCGGCTGCAACGGCGGTGAGTCCTGAGCGGGTGACCGGCAAGACTTGAGGCTTCCGGAAGAGCCATGCAACGATTGGCCCGACGTTGCCATCCTCCTTTGTCTATTGGTTGGAATGGCTTTCCGTCATTTTTTTCCTCTATGTTTTTTTAAAGGGCCAGTAGCTAGGTTAGCTTTTGGAAGAAAAGGGAAAATCAGTGAGGAGTGGGGGAGGGGTTAGGTGTGGAAGTACTGTCAGCCGTGGAACCTTCATCCTTGAGGACTTATCCGTGCTCCTTCCGTCTAGGCCTTGTATATTTGGCTCTAGGGTTAGTAAACTAGCACGGGAGAAGTTCATCTACATAAGCAGCGTTCTTTCATAAGATACAGGCCAGTGGGGCCACCTTGGAAAACATTCGCTTCTGATTCAAAGGAGAGCACGTTCCCAATTCTCCGAACTGCGTATAAATGCCTTGGAAGTAGAGCCTTGTCCCTTTCTGCTTTATAGCAGTCACCCAGCCTCATGAGACTGGGGATTTGTCTTTCCAACCTGGATCTTCCCATTCTTAGCTTGACTGCCGACCCATTCGCTGGTGCACAGGCAGACTACAGAGCCATAGAGGCTACTGCATGCCTGAGATAAGACAGAAGGGGCGGCTGCTTATCTCCTTCTTTCCAGCCTGCGGGTGAGCAATGGGTTTCTTTGCTAGTGCAGACATGCCAGAACACTGAGCTAGAAGGAAAAAGTTGATCTTTCCATTATTAGCTGTGTGATCCTAAGCGAATCATTTCACCTCTCAGTGCCAGCCTTTGCTTTTGTAACATCCTTCGACAATTGCCTGCCCTGTCTACCTAGTAGAATTGTTGTGAAGGCAACAATATGCAAAAGCAATAGAGCTAGCTGTTCATCATGCTGGTCTCAAACTTCTCACCTCCAGCAATCCTCCCACTTTGCCTCCCAAGTGTTGGGACTATCAGTGGGAATCACTGAAACCTGCTCGGTGTGGTTTGGTACTGGAGATTGAACTCAGGGGTTCTTCACCGCTAAGCAAGATCCCCAGTCCTTTTTTATTATTTGTTTTAAGATAGGGTATCGTTAAGTTGCTGAGGGTCTTACTAAGGTGCTGAGGCTGGCCTCAAACTTGCAATGCTCCTGCCTCAGCCTCCTGAGTCTGGGATGACAGACATACTCCAGTGTGCCCAGATGCAAATATGTATTTTTTAATGGAACAATTTGACTTGAATATGTTTTGCAGATTCAGTAACTTGAGGGATTGCTTGAATTTTGCAGCTGGGACCTTAGATTCCTTTTTCTGGGCTTCCTATGGTAGAATTTTAGAGTCCTGTTTCAAGCCCAGCCAAATTTGCAAGGGGCCTTACAGAGATGATTTATTGAAGGAGTGATCATAGTGGAATAGACTTGAGTCCAAGAACACCAAGCTCTTACCTCCTCCAACAATAAAGGCACCAGATGTCTGACTGCAAAAGAACTTCATAGGATGAAGATCCTAGAACAGGGGAAGTTGACGTTTCTACAGTGGCTCCTGTTTGATGTAGAAAGAAATAGAACCTCTGACTCACACTAAAGAACCCAATTTTACCTGCTTGGCACTGAATACCTTCATCCAAGGTGCCTGACAGGAAGAAGTGTGTCCCATTGAGGGTTTTTTTTTTTTTTTTTTGGGGGGGGGGGGGCAGGGATATGCCAGGGATTGAATTCAGGGGCTCTTGACCACTGAGCCACATCCCCAGCCCTATTTTGTATTTTATTTATTTAGAGACAGGGTCTTACTGAGTTGCTTAGTGCCTCACGTTTGCTGAGGCTGGCTTTGAACTCGTGATCCTCCTGCCTCAGCCTCTTGAGCTGCTAAGAGGCATGTACCACCATACCCAGCCTCCCATTGAGTTTTTGGCTTGAGATCTGACACCCCAACATTTACTTGATGAGACCAGAGGGAGCACTCTTGATGAATGAATGTTAGGCAGTTCAACCTCATAGTCTTATAGATATTGAGGCAGATGTTACATCATCATTTCATAGATGAACAAACAGGCCCTGGTGGGATGGTGCAATGTTACCCAACAAGAGGCTGTACATTAGATCATTTGACCCAAGTCCAGTAGGTGCATTCCAACCAGATTAAGGGACCCTTAGTGTGGCAGCTTCCAGGTAGTTCTCAGCATCTGGTGGCACTGAAGCTTTCTGGAGAACCTGCACTGTGCTGGATCATAAACCTGTACTCCAGTGATGTGTGACTCCAGCTGCCCTGCCCAGCCAACTGTAGGCTCCACCCTCCCTTTGGCCAGGCTGATGGGCCTTATCTCTTTACCCACATGTTTGTGTACAGCACTCCCACTGAGAATTGACTTGGCCAGGGTGGGCTTTGAGTCTCAGTGTCCTGGTTACTGCCACAACAGTAGTAGCAGATCCTACCATTGCTTCCCTCTGGATCCTGAAGAGGGAAGAAGGTACTGAGGAAGGTCAAGGGACTAGTTTTGAAGTATTTTTCCACTCTGAGGCTCAGCCAGCCACACACAGGCCAGAGACTGAGGTTTCTTTCTTCTGAGTTAGTGAGTCTGGTTCTTGGACAAGGAACACAAGGATCAGAGGGGACTGTAACCCAGAGATTTTTTTTTTTCAACAGGAAGAAAACGGCTCAAAGATGAAAGTAATTCGAGTGGGTACCCGTAAGAGCCAGGTAAGTGTGGACATTGGGTGGAGGAGGTTTGTCAGAAAAATTCTGGTGCTCACAGGATGACAAATTGAGGGGGCCAGAGGGTCAGCTCCCAGCATAGAGGAAATGAGGTAGCTGGGGGTTAAATCCTGTGGGGAATGGCAGATTAATTTCTGTAGAAAATTACATCCTGAGCTAGGGTGCAGAGGACTCCCAGGCCAGGCTCTTCTCTTTCCCAGGTGAGAATTCCATTCCCTTTAGGATCTCCCTGACCTTATGAGGATCTGAGCTTGGAGCAGTGGCCAGGGAAGGGCAGGACTAATACAAATCTCTGTCCTCAGCTGGCTCGCATACAGACAGACAGTGTGGTGGCAATGCTGAAAGCGTTATACCCTGGCCTGCAGTTTGAAATCAGTAAGTTTCCTGGAGATGTATGGAAGTTAATGGGAAGCCAGTATTAGTGGAGGGGAAAGCACAGGGTTCCTGGCTTTGCTTATCACCAAAGACTGGCCCCTGTCTCCAAGAACCCCTCTTGGCTTCTCCCAGTTGGAGGGCTGGCTCTCCTCTGAACATCTCTAGCTCCGACTGTCTGGGTTAATTTGGCATTTAATATCTTCTGCCTTGGATTTTTTTGTGAGTGGGTCTGTCTTCCTGTTAGATGGTGGGGAAGGAGCTTATGTGGCTCTGTTCCACTAGGAATTTTAATACAGTACTGGGCAGAGTAGGGGCTCAATAAATGCTGATTAATGATGTGATTGGTTGATTTTCTTCTCAGTTGCTATGTCCACCACAGGGGACAAGATTCTTGATACTGCACTCTCTAAGGTAACAACAACTTCCCTTCATTCCTTATACCCCTTCATTCTTCCTTGCCCTAAAAGATTCACTCTGAGGCTCTCTCTTGCCTGGCAGATTGGAGAGAAGAGCCTGTTTACCAAGGAGCTAGAGTATGCCCTGGAGAAGAATGAGTAAGTGGAGACAGGAGAGCATGGCACAATCTCTTGCTGGGATCCCTGTATGCTACAGATCCAGCGATCAGTAAAGCTGCTAGTGTAGACCAGATAAAATAGGGGACTCATATGTGGGGTTCAGGCTTCTGAAAAGGAGAGTGACCTGGTTTGGAGCCATCTGGCTGCTTGGAATGTAAGAGTGATTGGGAAAATGGGGTAGAAGGTAAGTGGGGAGGAGAGCATATCAAAGGTCCCAAGGCCTGGGGAAGGCCTACTTCCTGAACTACCCTTGGCTCCACTACTGAAACTGAGGCAGGAGCCAACTGCTTCAGCCCCTTCTCCTCTCCCTGCCTCTAATCTCTCTAGAGTTGACCTGGTCGTTCACTCCCTGAAGGACCTCCCCACTGTGCTGCCTCCTGCCTTCACCATTGGAGCCATCTGCAAGTAAGAGTCCTGGAAGCAAGGGGCCTGAGCAGGGGGTAGACCTCACAGGAGACTTTGCTTTTCCCTCTGGGACTTGGTCCTCTGCTTTGAGTGTGGCAGAAAACTCAGAATATGCCAGTTAGTTAGCTACTGAGAGAATGGAAATGACTCAAATTGAAATTTCTCCTTCATTCCATGATCTTCCTTCCTCCTCCAGGCGGGAAAACCCCTGTGATGCTGTTGTCTTTCACCCAAAATTTGTTGGGAAGACCCTAGAAACCTTGCCAGAAAAGAGGTGAGTGGGGCCTGGATGGTCATCCTGGTGGGAGGAGCAGGAAAGGAACAGTGGCTGCCTAGTGATAAATTTTAAATCCTCTTTCTGAGCAGCACTGTGGGGACCAGCTCCCTGCGGAGAGCAGCTCAGCTGCAGAGAAAGTTTCCACATCTGGAGTTCAAGAGTATTGTATCCTTTAGAAGGAGGGGTCAAGATTCTTGATACTTGAGGAAGAAGATAAGACCTAGATGACCCTGGAAGTCCTGAGAGTGGAAGGGGCTTCTGGTGCAGGTGGCCCATAGGGGCAGCAGGCTGACTGTCTTTCCATCCACCCATTCACCCATCCTTCCATGTATCCATCCATCCATCTGCAATCCTTTAATGTTTTCTTAGCCCAACGTAGATGCCTCACATTGGGGATAATGATGAGTCATATAAACTTTGTCCTTACTTATGTAGAATGAAAAGTTTACATTTTAGTTAGGTCTATAGATAGGCATTGATGATACAAAGTGATAGTGAATAGTGATTGTTTCTGGGGGCATAGAGGTGCTTCCATTTTTACTTTATAT